CCCCAAAACCCCAAAACCCCAAAACCCCAAAACCCCAAAACCCCAAAACCCCAAAACCCCTAACACAAAGATGTATATTGACTACTCTCTGTTAAGAAAAATTCTTGAAATTGCTCCTGATCCCCCTCTGATGAACCTCAGCCAAGGAAGTGTACTTCGTATCAGGCTTAATGGTGAACCCTTGCAGCTGCATGTTCTTGTTCGCTGAAGGAATTGAAGCAAGGATCGATGGACCAGTAGAAAATCCAGGTGTATTCCTTTTCGCTGATTGTAAGTTAAAAGTCTTCTCATTCTTCGCAACTGTACTGTAAGGAGCCTTGCTTTTATACATTCCAGGCTCTATATGATTTATCCGTGTATTCCTGTTGTTAATGTTATTTCATTGTCTTCTCATTTTTCTTTCTCAGCTACAAATTTGTTACAGAAGAAAATGGAAAGTCTTACAGAGAAAGTTCCAATGTTCAGGTTCTTGCCACGATCTTCTGAGAGTCCATAGTGCCTATTTTCAATATGAGCTTATCTTTTGAGTGAAGCAGGAAGATCCAAGATATGCATAGAGTTCAGACAAGAGCAAGAAATAGAATATCTTTACCTTTGGAGATTCCTTGGCTGGGTATGTCTTCTTGATTTAGTACCTTCAGTATCATCTTGACTTTCCTCTATTGTCTTGAGAGCTCTAAATTTATTCCTGTCATTAGATATCGCCTTAAGTCCTTTGGCAGAGCTCTTCGCCTGGATGTGGTCAAGATATGGCTGGTTACTGATGGACTTGACTATGCCAAAGGATTAAGATGGTTGGCAAAAATTATCCAAATTGGATATTCTAGTGTTGATAGTAAGTTAAAATTAAAAGCAATTGGGTCACTTACCTGGCAAAATAGAAATGGATGATGAAGGTGGAGGGTGGCTTAGGGGTTTGAATGACAGAGTTGACAATGTCTTCTCTCCTTCTTCTAGGATTTTCTGCTTATTTTAAACTTTCTAGCATGTATTCAATGGCTTTTGGAGAATGAGTCTTGTCAAGATCTGATGTTTTTAGGTCATAATTGGAATGACCTGAGAATGCACCTATACAAAATTTCTTAAATACCCAATATTTTGAGTTAATCAATATACATTAATTAATGCTTTAAGTAAAGCTTTTGGTTAAAGAAGATTTGAGCCTTATATATTTTTATTGAACATCTGATATCTTACCTTGACTTGATCCGCTTATAATTGGGTTTCCTTCTAAGAAATTGATAAAATTGTCGAAGAATATAACATTTCAAGAAATATTATCAAGAGATTTGATCCTAATAGCTTCTTTTACTCATTCATCTGCACAGCTGCTAGCGATAGCATTGATATCTGTAGTCTTATTCGAATATATATCTAAAGAAGTTCTGTAAACTAATTTGACCAAATCGCTATTAGATTGCTTATCAAAGAGCCCATCGCTACCAGTTATAATAAAATCATAGTTTCCTTGAATTTTGAATCTTTTAATGTCCGGTTGAGGAATCACTACTGAAGAATTTCCACCTAGTTGCTTCAGTTTGGCATGAGCATCTCCGATTGCTCGAGATACAGACAGTCTACCTGGCAATACTCTGTAAGGGCCATAAGCTTCCCCACCATTCTCAATAACATTAAGAGCGTTTTCTGTAGAACATTGCAGACTATCGGACTTTGAGATTAGTTTATCTGTTCTTTGAATAGAGACTCCAGCAGAGCTAGTCATCTGCTTGATTGCGGACACATAGATCTGGCCTCCTGAATCGATCACTCTGTCTCTCTCATTCGGGTCTGATGGCTTGTGGTCCCTCGAAAGTTGGTAAACCTCACTTCCTCCGCTTGCTGACATTATGCTTCTGCAGTCTCCAACGTTAGCCACGTATCAGGTGTCATCCAGAATCATGACCACGTTCAAACAAGACCCTGCTCTCTGGTACTCGGTGTTGGTCGGGTTCTCATGGTAGAACTTCAAGAACTCCTGGTCAATCGCCAGAATGTGTTTATTTGAGAGCAGCCAGTGGGTTCGACAACAGCGTTGAGTCGTCAGCAAGCAAGAAGTGCAGCTCTTTAGACAGGTAGTTCGCACATGACTGGCCTCCGTGGCCATCATACACTGCGATGAATGTGAACTGCACATCGCCACCAGTCTGCGACTTTATGGTTGTGTTGTATGCAACAACTCTGTCTTCGTTGTACGGCCTGACAGAGCCTTGGTTGCTGTTGATGGCATAGGCTCTGACCACTCCGACAGGACTCTTCGAACAGTCAGAACACTTGTAGATCTGTTTGCCTGCAATGGTTCCGAGGGGCAGACTGGTCAGGTTTTTGTTCAAAAACTTGTGTTGGTTACCGACTGAGCTCAAGGTTGAGTTCTTGTACATGCCGCTGATGTTCTGCAAGATCGGAGAAGCCTTGGACGACTTCTTAGGTGGAGTCTGGAAGCTTGGAGAGAACTTGTTGGGTGTTTCTATAACAGAATTTAACATGTATTTAATAATAGCAATTGATTAAGCTATTCACTCAGGTGTTTTCTAAGCAAGCAGCAATGATCATTGCAAGCAACACATAAAGGACATGCCTTTATCAAGAGTTTTAGGGTGGTGGATCTTGGCGCTTGTGTTTTTGTGCCAGAGTTTTCCTGTAAAGTTACTGGGATTGTTCTGGTTATGGTTATTATGAAGTCCATCTTTTCTATATACCATGGTATGTAAGTGAATGAAAAGAAAATGTTCTTAAATAGTTTTCTTAACCTAATTTATATAATTGGCAATCAACTCTTACGTTAATACCGGAGGAACAGACAGCCTCGGCTTAGTTTTGAAACCTTCATAATTTGATCTCTTGTACGGGAGACTCGCATCACGACTTGAAGTTGTATCAAATCCTACTCTTCCGAATATATTATGCTTGTTGAAGTTCATGTCTACAAAAATTAGCATTCGAAGTTGGAACAGCCCTCAAATTCACTCTCATTGCTCATTCCACATATTTTCAATTGCAAATCAAACTTATTAATTCTAGGGGCTTTATCCCAATGAATGATTATTCTCACCAATGAGAAGTGTGAATGGTGTATTTAATCCTATTTGCCAAATAATGCATAAAGATTGGTTCAGATCAATGCATCTACTTCCTAGTCAAAAGAATCAAAGAGCCAAAGGGGTTTCATATTGTAAGAATGGCTTACCAAATTATATTATTTAAAGAGTTTTTAATAAAGGGGTTTTGGGGTTTTGGGGTTTTGGGGTTTTGGGG